AAGGGGCTTCCATCTTCATCCTTTTAGGAAGAGCAATGTGGAATGCTCAGTCTCCATCCCTGTGCTACATCAGAATGGAGACTGCATCCTGGGATAAGGCAGTTTTCTAAACTTGTTCCGCGGGGAGGAGGGGAGTACTCTAGAAAAGAGCAATATGTTCTGTACCTATTCCTGAGTGCATACACACACATACACAGACAGACACAAAACCAGAGAACAATCAGGCTTAGTCCTGCCTTTTGCTTGTCCTGTGAGGAAGTGGGGACAGCCTCCACATACCTACTCCCATCTACTTCCTAAGGCAGAGAATACCTACAACTTTGTCCCTCTTAGGAAAAGAGGACCCAGAGGAAGAGCCTAAACCCGTGGTTATCAAACTTTAGCATGTATCAGAATCACCTGGGTTGCTGTCCCACCCCTAAAATTTCTGATTCAGTAGATCAGAGGTGGGCCTGATAATCTGCATTTCTTACAAGTTCCTGGGTGATGCAGCTGGTCCTGGGATGACATTTTGGAAATCGTTGGCCTAGACCATGATCCTTGCTATCACTTTTCTGAAGCCACGCCTCCTAATTCTTCATCTCCAGCAAAATAATAGAAAGGAAAGTCTTGGTTGATGGGAAAAGGTCTCCCTTAAACTCCATGAAGTAGAGATTATGGGTGAAGAACTGTCAAAGTCAGGAGTCAAGGGGCTGTGAGAGGGTGGAATGATGACAGGAAGAGAAAAAGAAAAATGGCCAAGGAAGAGGAGTACAGAAATGCAGGACAGGGAGAACAAACAAATATCATATCCCTTGGCACCCGAGAGGAAAGGCTCAACCCATAGGATATTTCCTTGTTGGGTCACCTGATATAGGGAAGAGGTAGAAGAGATTGTGGGATGGATTCAGGATTTCACCTCTGCTGAGGCATGAGGGTTAAGGGATAGGAGGTAAAAGCCACAGTGAGTCTGGTTTCTGAAGTCTGTTCCCTTAGTTATATTTTCCGAATTTCTTCTCTTCACCTCAGCCCCAACTTTGAAGCCCTGCCCCTCTCTCACTTAGGCTCCTCTCTCATCAGGCTTGTAGTGACTAGTGCTGAGTTGACCCTTTGGCCCCAGTCAGAAACTCTCGCAGGCTCTTACTCTTGATTACATCAGCTGAGAGGGATGGGCAGGAAGGAATTGATGTCTCCCAGACCAGTGGCCTCAGTAGCCCAGACAAAGAGAAGATGGGGTTTCTGGGGGCAGCAGTTTGTGGCCCTGAGGAGGAAGGAGGGGTGATTGTGCACCTAGGAAGAATGTGTTGCCAGTGATCAAAGAAAGGAGGGACTCCAGGTTCTGTTCCTGGCTGAGATGGGTGACTCACTGTGTTTTTAGAGGCCTTTCCTTGAGAGAGATCACCCTGGGGTTGAGCAGAGGGCTTGTCTGCCAGTGACCTTTGGCAGACAAGCACTGTCTAAGCAGGTGCCACTGAGACTTCCTGCTCTCTCAAGTTAGCTGCTGTCTGGGCCCCAGCAGTAATCAAGGAAGTAGGGATTGGGCCTGGATGGTGTTTGGTAACTGCTCCCTGTTTCTTTTCAGGCTGAAGATGGAAACATCGAATATAAAGTGAGTCTTAAGTTGGGGAGGGGCAGGTTGTCCTTGCTGGCATGGGATGATGATTTCTCTGAGATCTTTTCAACTTCATGATCTATAGTAATTTAGGGATGTGGTTCAGAGTGAGGGCTCTGTACTTCATTCTGTTGAGGGCGAGCTCACTGTTAGAGGAGGTTAGGGATGAGAGGGTTTAAGTGGGAAGGGAAGGGCCTGGTCCTTGCAGCAGGACAGGTGGTGAGCAAGTGGGTTTAGGAGGAGCATCTCTGATTTCACTTTCTCATGATACCTCACCTGCCCTAAGCTGAAGCTGGTGAATCCATCCCAGTACCGCTTTGAGCACCTGGTGACACAGATGAAGTGGCGGCTCCAAGAGGGCCGTGGTGAGGCTGTCTACCAGATTGGGGTGGAGGACAATGGGCTGCTGGTGGGGCTGGCTGAGGAGGAGATGCGTGCCTCCCTCAAGACCCTGCACCGGATGGCGGAGAAGTATGCTTCCCCTTCCCCCTCTGTTTTGTTTTCTCTAACTGGGGAGGACCTATGTGTACCGTCACCTAGGGCCTGAGGTGCCAAGGAGGGACTTTCCTTCTGCTACCTTCTCTTGACAGAGGGCGAAAGTGGGGAGGGTTAGTGTTCTAGGTTCCTCTGCATTGGACCTACTAGGCTTTTTAGCTCAATGATTTAAGACTCGTTTGTTTGTTTAAAGGGAGCTGCGGATGTGGGATAAATTGGAGGGTGCTTGAGGGGAAGTAAGGTGTTGGGAGCTCTGTGGGAGATGTGGGAAGGCCATTGGTCTAAAGCCAGGATGGAAGGGGGTGGGGAAACTCAGATGAAATGTGGCAACTGTGGCCTTGCTATGTGATAGGGTTGGGGCAGACATCACTGTGATCCGGGAGCGAGAAGTGGATTATGATAGTGACATGCCTCGCAAGATCACTGAGGTGCTGGTACGAAAGGTCCCTGACAATCAACAGGTGAGCACACACCCTTCCCTGCCTTTCATACCCATACTCCCCAAGAGGGCCCTGTGGTAGCAGGCTCTCTTTGGGCCTGGGATCCTGGGGGTGTTCAGGTCACCATTTGGTCCTCAGGGATTGTCACTGCCCTTGACCCAACCATCAATGGAGATAGGTGAGGGATTAGAGCCCTTACCTCTGACAATTCATTCACAGTTCCTGGACCTTCGTGTGGCCGTCCTGGGGAATGTGGACTCAGGGAAGTCGACTCTGCTTGGAGTCCTGACCCAGGGAGAGCTGGACAATGGGCGAGGCCGGGCGAGGCTCAACCTTTTCCGCCACCTGCATGAGATTCAGTCCGGTCGAACCTCCAGCATCAGCTTCGAGATCTTGGGCTTTAACAGCAAGGGAGAGGTGCATGCAGTCAATGGGACCCAGTGGGGCCAGACTCTGAGAATGGGATGGTAGTGGTGAGGGACACAGTCCAAGGGCAGAGTGTGGAGACTTTTTGGAGTAGAGTAGATGAAGGCCCTGAAGGTAGTAGATGGAGGCCCTGTGGGATAATCTCTGTCCTCAGAAAACAAGTGGGGAATCAACTAAATTAAATCTGAAATGGGATTCAGGATTAAGCGGCAGGGTCACCCAGGAACTGTTTTAGGTCCTGACAGTTCTTAAAGGGTTGGGAGGCTGGCAGGGGTCACTGAGAGCCTTGGGCTCTGGGCCAGGTGGTGAATTACAGTGACTCACGGACGGCAGAAGAGATCTGTGAGAGCAGCTCCAAGATGATCACCTTCATCGACCTGGCAGGCCACCACAAGTACCTACACACCACCATCTTTGGCCTCACCTCTTACTGCCCGGACTGTGCCCTGCTCCTCGTCAGTGCTAACACTGGGATTGGTATGAGGCATTGGGGCAGGGACGGGGCTGGAGGGGGATGCTGACTCTACTACCCTGGGCTTCTTCAAATCTGGGAGCCAGATGAACTCTCCTCTTGTTCCCTCTCCTCACTCCCACTCCCCGCTTTCCTTCTCTGAGGCAGCTGGCACCACAAGGGAACATCTGGGGCTGGCCCTGGCCCTGAAAGTGCCCTTCTTCGTCGTGGTTAGCAAGGTGGACCTGTGTGCCAAGACCACAGTGGAGAGGACAGTACGCCAGCTAGAGCGGGTCCTCAAGCAGCCTGGATGCCACAAGGTCCCCATGCTGGTCACCTCAGAGGATGATGCTGTCACTGCTGCCCAGCAGTTTGCCCAGTCACCCAAGTAAGCCTTTTTCACTCCAGAGCCTTGGTCCACAAGGAAGGCTGCCACAAAGCCCCAGAGCATGGTGTCCCACCCCAATACCAAACCTGTTGACTCAGTTCTGTGGTTTTGCAGGTTGAGATTGTGGGAGGGAGTCTGCTAAAAGGCTGACCTTTCCCCTAAACCCACCTGGTGCTTTGCTGATGGCTGGGACCCTGGAGACAAAGTGCTATACCAGGCAGTCGCCATCTCCCTTAGGCTCTGGGATGGGCTTTATGTGCCACGTTCCTTGGCTAGCTCACCGAGAGAGGGCCCAGAGCTCCTTCAAAGGTTAGCCGATAGGAGGGGGGGCCCCTAGCTACCCCGAGAGCATCTCACCTTTCCATGTATGGGGCTCTAGCCTCTGCTTCCTATTAGAACTTTCCTCATCTGTCCATTCCATGCCTCCCTCTACAGTGTCACCCCTATCTTCACACTATCCAGCGTGTCTGGAGAGAGTCTGGACCTGCTCAAAGTCTTTCTGAATATCCTGCCACCACTCACCAACAGCAAAGAGCAGGAGGAACTCATGCAGCAGCTGACAGAGTTCCAGGTAATTGTCTACCCGAACAGGCAGTGAGCTGGGGAATTGGGAAGGACTAATTCTGACTGAGCCCTGAGTCTGTTTAGAGATTTTGGACCTGCCAGCACTACTTTAGGCAGGCCAGTGACAGAATTTTTTTCTTGGCTTCAGGTGGATGAAATCTACACAGTACCAGAGGTGGGGACAGTTGTTGGAGGGACACTTTCCAGGTGAATTGCCTTGCTTGCTACCTACCCCAGTCAGCCCTTACATGCCCATACACTCGAAGACGTCATGGCCCAAAGGAGTTGAACAGAGCCCAGCTAAAAGATGTGCTTGTTTGCAGATTAGGCTTTCACCATCAGAAGAGCTGGAAAAACTAGTCTATTGGCTTATAAGGGAAGAAACAGTATTGCTGCTTTACTGGGAATCTCCGGGCCCCTGAGGGAGAAGTGTGGGTCTTGAGCCCCAGGAAGAAAACTAGAGTGTATTCAACTGGCTTCATCTCCAAGTAGGGAAGAGAGGTCTCTTAAGACTCTTTCCAAAGCAGAGGATGAAACCCAAGGGGATATCTTTCTCTTTCAGGGATCAGGTGTTCAGTATCAACCAGCAGGTACCTGTCTGCCAGCCATCACTGCCTTTCCTGGTATTAGCCTTCAGAGTATGAACTCTAAAATGGGGCACGGCAGTCATCTCCCCTACCTCCAAGTCAGAATTTAGGGTCTCTCCCCATCCTGAGGGACTCAGCCTTATAAGGGAAAGAATGCTCTGGGTGACCCTAGCAGAGAAGTAAGTAAGGGAGCCTAGGCTGACATTGTGCCATCCGCCCTCTGGGCTGCAGTGGGATTTGCCGTGAGGGCGACCAGCTGGTGGTGGGCCCCACGGACGATGGCTGCTTCTTGGAGCTGAGAGTATGCAGCATCCAGCGCAACCGCTCTGCCTGTCGTGTGCTGCGAGCTGGTCAGGCTGCTACATTGGCCCTCGGGGACTTTGACCGTGCGCTCCTTCGCAAGGTGAGGTGGGAGGGTGGGTTGGAGAGGGAACAAAGAGAAGTGCCTGGGAAACTGGCTACTTGAATGAGAAGCACCTGTCTAAGGGGACTCACAAGAAAACATGGTCTCTACCCTAAGCAGTGGTTACACAGACTGTGTATGAAAAGGCTTAGAATATTCATAAAACACAGATCACTAAATATGAATCATGGTGGTGCAATCCAAGTGTCCAGAAACCCTAGAAATACAAAGCATTAGAAGCGTTAGAGGACATGGGAGATGGATAAGGAAAGATTCTCTCTGAGAGTTTCGAATGTTGTCTTTTGAGGTCTTGTGTTTGAAGTCCTAGAGGAAGAGGAAACTTAGGAGCTAGCTGTAAGGGTGTGAAGGTGGCTGGGGAGGTAGAGACTAATGTGAGGTCTGTCCTTCCTGAGTCTGGGGGCTGTGCCTCCCCAGGGCATGGTGATGGTGAGCCCCGAGATGAATCCCACCATCTGCTCAGTGTTCGAGGCAGAAATAGTCCTACTGTTCCATGCCACCACATTCCGGCGAGGCTTCCAGGTGACAGTACATGTGGGCAACGTCCGTCAAACGGCGGTGGTGGAAAAGATTCATGCCAAGGTGAGAGGGACCTAGCTATGCCTCCTTTTTTCCAAGGAAAAGTCAAAATTCTCTTGCCTTTAGAAAGGTCTGGCCCAAGATTTGTAGAGAACACCCTGATCCCTTTTTGTGGAAAAGGGACAAAGCCTCACTTAGAGTGGGTAGAACCCTGATAGGCCCCCGAGGGTGGAGAACCAAGGCTGGGATGGGAGGCACTGCCCAGGGCCAATGACCTCATATCTACTGCAGGATAAGCTGCGGACAGGGGAGAAGGCGGTGGTACGTTTCCGCTTCCTGAAACACCCAGAGTACCTGAAGGTGGGCGCCAAGCTGCTGTTCCGGGAGGGTGTCACCAAGGGCATCGGCCATGTCACTGATGTGCAAGCCATTGCAGCAGGAGAGGCCCAGGCCAATGTGGGCTTCTAAACTCCTCCAGGCAGGCACGGCTCTATTGCTCTCCCTACAATATATAAGGTGACTCTGGCCATGCTGCCCTCTGTTGGCAGCTCTGTGTGTTAATAGGCTAGGGAGAGGGGTGCTCTCTGCCACTTGCTCCCTGCCACCAATCTGGAGAGGTGCCGAGCTTGGTATGGCCAGGGAGGGGCAGCCCTGAGGGAGAAGACAGACTTCAGGGCAGTGTTCAGCAGCTGTGTCCACCTGGTGGGCTCATCAACCCCATGGCCCGTCTACTGGAGGGAGCTGACAGCTGCCATCTTGGCCCCACTGTCAGGACTGGGCATGATTCACCGGTGTGGTCCCCGCACTTCAGGAATTGTCACAACAACTGGGGGTGGTCCTCAAAAGCACTCCTTTTTCTATACCTCTTCTCAAGACCATGTATATTGCCCATCTCTACCGGACTGTGGACAAAAGACACCTCCCGGCCATCTGGTGGCCCAGGGTCTGAAGAAATGGCACAGGGACAGTAAATGGCAGTGCTCCCATCCTGTGTTGAGACATGAGGCCTGCTCCTCAGCTTTTATCTCTTCCTTTCTTCACTCAAGGGCCATTTCCAATTTCTCTCACAGGCCCCACAGGTGCTATTTGTTGTGCTGGCCCAGGTGTGGGGCCGCCAAGCCAAGGCTTGGCATACTGAAGGTCAGCTGCATGTCAATCAGTTTTGTTCCCTCCTCTGCAGTGATCTGTTGATTTTAATGCTGAACCAAACAGTATGTTTTACTTTCCTAGACTGACCCACACTTCCCATTCCTGCCACCTTCACCCTGCTTCCTGCTCCTACACAAGTTCTCTCTTGTTTTAGTAATTTGCAGTGACCATCCCTTTCCCTCTGTTGCCGGGAACCTGGAGGAAAGGGAAAGATATTGCCATATGTCCTACTCTTTAGGGCATGGACCCCCTCCTTTCCCTTTGTTAGTGTCCTGGGCTCCCATGGACTCAGGGATTTGTTGGTTGAGGTTTCTCTGCATATATATATTATAAATATATATTTAAATACACATATATATTGTACAGAATAAAAATGTTTTATTGAACACACTGTGCTTATGCTTAAGACACAGGCTCAGCTTCCAGAGCTAGATTTCTCTCCAGACTTACAAACAAGTGAAACGCTAACATTGCTGAACCCTGAATGGAGGAAAAACCCATCTGGTATCTCATTCGCCATTTTTCCTTTCCCTCTCCCTGACCATGTGATCAGTGTTGCAGTATTGTGACCAGGTGTTCTGGCCTGTTCTGCATAGTTCTTTGAGCAGAATAGAAAGTGAAACCATCGCCTTTTCAACTGAGACTGGTAACCACCCCATACTTGAGTTGAATTTAGAGACATGGTAATCTGTTCCCTCATGTTTTTCCTTCCAATGCAAAATAGCCTGAAATGAGGTTTATAAAGCCTAAGCTGTCGTCTTGGAGCTACAGGGGCCACCTGGCCAAACCTTAGTCCCTTCTTCTTGTTTCTGTGTTCAGATTACCTAACTCAAATTTTCTGGATAAATAGGGCCCAATGTTAAAGTCAACTACAAAAAGCAGGGACTGCATTTTGACTACTGATCTTTGCAAAAGAAATTTAATGATAAACGTGGCCTGAGGTGACAAGGGGCATTCTGCCTCCAGGGTATTAAAATGATAGCTTCCCTGCCACTCTAGCTCAGCTGCTTTTTAAAATATCACTGGTTTAACTTGCTACTAAGAAGCCTATGGTTGAAGAACTTCCTCCTGTGTTGAGAACTAAGCTGTTTACTTCCTTCTCACAGTTGCTGAGCTATGAGGAAAGGTTACATTCAGCAAAAATATGTTTTGTTTTTGTTTTGGGGAGGTAACAGTTATGCTCAGATACTGATTTCTGTCTTTGCCAGCAATTTACTTAGCACAGATTCACTGTGGAAATTATAATTCATGAGCCAATAGCATACAGGATAATATCTCAATAATCCAAATAAAGAAATAACATTCCAAACAAATGACAGATTAATCAAATTATTGTTCCAATCAAGGGGAGGTGAAGGAATAAAATCCAAATTTGATATGAGGTGTACCTTTTTATACCAGGAGGCACTTGGGAGACTTGGCAACCAACCAAAAAGCTGATTTCCAGCTGCCAGAGCAAAAGTAAAAGTCCCGTGTTGCTAAAGCACGTTGCTAGGGAATAAGGCACCATTGTTAAGTGAGCTGAGCAACTCTGAAGATTATCACTTCTGAGACCCCTGCTCAGGTTTAACACCACTCCCAACCAGTAGGAGCAAACGTCGTAAGGGTCTTTGCAGAGTCTAGGTTAGCGGAATCACCTCTTCCAAACCAAAACTCTCAGAGTACTCACAAACTCTCAGTATTTATAGTCTAAATGTCCCCTTATTATCCTTGCTTCTCTATATGTTCTCAATAAGCTACAGGGATTAGTCAGCTGGGCTGCTGACTAATCAATGACAACAAACGCAGAACGATGACCTCCTGGGATGACTGACTTGATTTTTATATCAAAGCAGCTCTTTTTTAATTTCTCATAAACCAATTTATTAAAACAACTTAGGTCATAAGTGGATTTGAAATCATATTAAACCTACATACAAAGTGCTATAGCTTTCACCTGTTAAATTCATTTTTTTAATTAAAAATTTTTTTTAAAACTTTCCTGGATTAAGAAAGAAAACTTTGGCATATCTACAGGAACTAGTGAGCCACTTTGCTACACCAATGGAAGTAGGAAGATAAAAGTATATAATGCAGCTTCTCCCCACCCACCGCCAATAGTATGTACATTTTTCTTGTTCCAGTTCTGGTAATCATCTAAAAATTTTCACTATGTATATTTCATCCAATGAATAACAAGCACTTGTTATGTGCAAGGCACTATGAAGAATTCTTGCAGCCATGAACACATTTAACTGCCACAAAAATGGAAAATATTTTTGGAGGAAGAAATTTCCTGCTAGACCTAGTGGTCTTCGAACATTTTCTCCCTCTTCCAACTAAATACAGACCCTCAATTTATAAATAAGCTTAAAAAGCCGTTGGTTTGTGTCTATGTATGAAAGGGGGGATATATACACCATTCTCCCTACTTTACCAACCCACCACCACCTAACTCAGTTCATCTTCAGTTTTGTTCAAGGTTTCCTATATCAGAAATGCCAGAAAAGCTGACCTTACACACATAAGAACAGATTAATACAGTACTACAAACATGGATAAGTGTAAAAAGCTAAAATAATGAATTTAAAACCGTAAGCTAGATAGTCATACTCCAATGGGAAGAGATGAACACACCAATGACTCTGAAAGCCCAAGTACTTTTCCCTTAAATTTGTGCTTTAAGGTTTAAGGAAATGCCCTCTACAAACCTGGCCAGCTGTTGGTATCTTCTAGATCAGTATTTTTCAAACTTTAGGATACACCCTGAGGAATCTCGTTAATATACAGATTCTGATTCAGTTGAGGCCGAGATGATTTTCTAACAAGTTCTCTGATGATGCTGGTGCTGTTGGCTCCTCAAATTCACACTCAGCGTAGCAAAGTTCTAGAGATGGTATAGTTCTGACCATGACTTATCCAAATAGAGTTGGTCTATTAATAATCTCATTCTACATTAGAACAAGAAGCGAGGGGTAGAAGGGCCACTGGCTAAAACTGTGGCTATCATAGGGTTTGCTTGTATGAAATTCAGTATTTATTGAATAGTTTCTGTATACAGAGCTCTGCCCTGTACTAGTTATCACTTTAGGGTTTCAAGTCTTCACATTCTCAAACCTGTCATTTTGGTTAAGGCATTATCTAGCTTCCCCTGTCACAGAGCTAGGGGGAATTTTTTTCTGTGCACAACAGTACTTTAAATACATTGTTCTTCAATAATCTGTAAGGCACGATCTCAATTTTGCTCATTATCTAAAAGATGAGGAAAAGTAAGGAAAGTAACTTGCTCAAGGTCATATACTCCAAGAGGCAGAGCCAGGTTTGGAACTAGATTTCTTAGGCTCTGAGGCCTACACCTTTTTAACTCTATGACACTGTCTCCCTAAACACTTAATTAAAAACTCAAAGCAGTTGTATCTCTGGAAGATGAATTTTTACATTTCTATCAGCAATGAGATTAGAATTCATGCTTGTGAGCAGATGGGAGCCTTAGCATCTAACTGAATTTTTCTTATTAAAAATTTCATGAAGTTATGAATTTCCTTGAGAAATGAACATATTTCCATTTCCCAGGTTACAGATAAAATATTAAAACCCTGCAGCAAGCCCGAGGGCAGCACTAATGTGTTAATGGCTTAAAAAATGATTCCAATGTCTGCATGCCCTCAGGCCTAGGGCGTTTATTACTAGATGCCAGAGGGCTCTTGGGATTTCTTTTGCTTTGAGGAGAACTAGCAGGAACAACCCGGGGGTTTGAGGACTGGGACTGCAAAAAGGATTTCTGCAACTCCAACGCAAAATGATAGTCCGCGTGTTCCGGCATCTCCCATACAGCTACCAGAGATCCACACTTTTCACAGGGCACTTGGTCCTCATTAGCTGGAAGACTCCGTGTAGTAGTTGTCTTCTGAGCCACCTCCAGAGCAGGCTTGGAAATTAAAGAAGCAAGCCTGCTCGGGCTGTTCTGGGCCAAATCTCTCTCTTCAGAAGTTGCTTTAGAGGATTCTAGCTTTGAAACCTCTTCACAGACACAGGCGGAATCTGGATATTCTGTTGGAAAACGGTTTGGTAACTCTTGAGGGCTAGACTGTGGATTTTGTGGAGAAATGAAAACTGAAAGATTATTAAGCTCTTTCTGCTTCAGATGTAGACTTTTCTGCTTAAAGAAGGGCTCAATTCCTGTAGTATGACTGGTTTGGAAAGGTAACAAGGGCTTCAGTGGTGAATTGCTCTTGGGGGCCTGAGTAGTGGCAGCAAGAGATGAAAGTGAAGCTTCTTTGACTTTCTGCTTTTCTGCAGCTTTTTGGAAGAATGATTCCAGAGAAGTGGTTGCTTTCTTAGTGGCTGTCACTGATGGGCCACTTTCCTGGGTCTTAGCTTCTGGACTGGTAATTGGCACTTTTGACAGAGAACTTGGGTCGTTCCTCAAGAAGACAGTGATGTCTGTGCAAGATGAAGGGGCAGAGGCAGAGAACTTGGTAGCACAGAGGAAAAGCATTGTGAGGGGCGGGGACCTGTATGGAAAGTAAAGGAACAAGATTAGCACCAGGTCACAGATTAGATTTGTAAATTATTGGGATTCTGGTTTTGCCACAAGGGGAAATTGGTACTGCATTGATTCTCAAACTTTAGGGTGTATCAGATTAATACAGATTCAGTAGACCTTGGATGGGCAGAAAATCTGCCTTTCTAACAAGTTCCTAAGCGATTCTGATGTTGCTGATCTAGGACCACACCTTGAGAATCACTGATTTGGTGAACACCTACTAGGTCACATATGTGCAAGTTGGATCCCTTGGCAGCTATGTATTATATTATTGTTTTCATAAGATAATTGCTGCAGAGCTGCTATAATTCAGGGTTAGGGCAAGAAATTTTACTCAGGGCAACAAAAAAGCTTTAGAATACTTATTAGACTGGAAAGCCTCTTGAAAAAAACCCTCTTACCCGTTCTCTTGTTTTTAAGCAGGCACCACCTAATGCTGACAGACTTTTACCTCTAGAATTTTGGAGAATGAAATTCCACAATGGCTTTTGGTTACCTATCCTAGTCTCAGAAACATTTCAAGAAATTCCATTGTATAATTCCTCATTATGTCTAATTACCCAAATAAATTTCCACACGAGTTGAATTTCAGATGATGAAACATGCTTTAATATACAGATTATTCCCTCAATGAGGTGAAGAGTAAATGCTATTTTAAAATTATTATGACAGTATTTTACTATCCTTCAGTTTCATGCTTTGAGACAGTTTCATAATCAGGTAATTTTGATGCTTCCCTGTCAATAAGCTTCATGCTTTTGGTGGCATTGTCTGTTGTAGTCTGTCAAGGTTTCATATGAACAATTATCATTTGGTTCAGTAAAAACGTTCAATTTTTGAAAATAAGCAAGTATACCATGAAGAAAAAGTAAATTATTCTAAGAACAAACACTATACTAGAGATCCCATCATATTGTAAGTCTCTACATTTAACAGTAGTGGCCCATATATTTAGATAAGCAATAACTGAGGTAGTTAACTAAACTTTTATTTCTTATAATCTACAATAAAGATCTATAAATAAACAAACAATTTATTTTTCTCTCAATTATATTTCCATTGTGAACTTGGAATACTTTTTCAATGTAATAATCTATGTTAAATAAATAAAAGATTCCAATAATGAAAATAATATCTGGACAGTAAATGAACACACTCCAATATATATTTGGTTATATTTCATGCCCAACTGAGGCTTATTAATATATGACATTTGGTGGTATACCAGTGGAGCTTCTGAGTTGAGATGTTAGATAGAGATTATCAGTGAATATAGGTCACTTTCATTATCAAGAAAGCTGCCTTTAAGGTAAAACAATTAAGTAGTTGAGAGAATTTCCAAAATGTGCTGTATTCTTGAAACTTAAATTCTGTACTCCCAAGTACGATTGGTCATTCTTCTGACAATTGCAAATTGATAAGGGCAGGGATAGTATTGGTTCACTCTGCCTCTCAAACCTTCCCCTGAGAACTGGAATGTACCAAAAATAGGCAGCCTGCAGCAGAGCTGCCTTTGTTTCTGGTGTTTCTACTGTGTTCTCTCCCTGGTACATGACCATCCCCCTCTGTAATAGGTCCTGCTAGCCGTAGTCACAAAGAAACTACGCCAGCTGGAAAGCTTATTGACCCACTAATTTTAGAGCAAGACAGGGTATATGACTCTTCTAAGATGAGCTAGAAAGAAACTCACCATTCAGTTTGGACTCCTGAAGTATTACAGTTCCTGATGACAGCAAATGCATCATGGCTCATCTTGTGAGCATCATAACGGGTAAGGGCACAGCAGCGGCGCAGGGTGCTGAGACGTTTATCTCCTTGTACACGAATGCTTACAACCAACTGAGTGGCTACCCTGTCATTCTGTGGATATGAAAGTATAGAGACTAGAACTAAAGTTACTGTGAGCATCTGGATTCTATGTACTGAACTGAGTGAGAGGAAATTAAAAGAACCAGGGCAATAGAATGGTTTGGAAATAGTCAAGTTTAATTTAAAATTTTAAATATATTTGTATAGTTTCAGGGTATAAGGAGAAATTGTAGAAGACATAATTTGGATGATAGAATATCTAGAAAATTTTGACAGGTGATGGGAACAGGATAGAATAAATGAAAATGGATTCTCCTGAAAGTTCTGTGTTTTAGTGTGTGTGTGTGTGGTATCCATGCAGAAAGATTAAAACAGATACCTACAGTACTATATCTTGTAACTGAAGGAAGGGCTCATGTAAGGAACTGAAAGGAAGATCCAAACTAGGATGTCGAGACTGAGTAGTGGATCTATTCTTTAATCTGCCCTGATGCTCTTATGCTTACTAAGAGCAGAAGTTTCCACTAGTACCTCCTTACTGCCCATCTCTAGAAGGTACAGTGTATAGAGCCTGCCTCTAGAGATTCACTTTTCAATTCACTCTCCGGTGAAGTCAGAGCATCTGAATACTGTTGATGCAGAGCAAACTACGAAATAAAGGTCAAGAGGCAGAATTATGAGAAGGTAAAAAGTCTACATAGGGATCCCCTCAAAATCAAAAGATGTTAGTGAGAAGAAATACCCCTAAGGCAAACAAGCCAAGAGCAGCAACAAATTGCATTTTTCTACATTTTACAAGTACAATTCGTATAGATTTATATATTTTGAGATAATAAAAATTGGCGATTACAAGGGAGTCCTTGTTGACTAAAACCATTCAACTATAACTGAATGCCTGGAAGTCACTAGAATATTTTAAACGATGAAGTAACAGGATCTTCTATGTCCAAAATTCTTTTTGGCATAAGTCCTTAAACTTAAAGATAGATTAATTTTCAGGATCCCTACATTGTTGCATATACCAGGTAACAAGTAGGAAGAACATATATTTCTGGCACTGTCTAGAGATACAGGATTGAACAAAATAAAGTCCAGGCCCTCATGGATTTGATCTCGTAGTAGGAGCTACAGATAATAAAGTAGACATGTAGTAGAAATGACTACAAAGTGCTATGGAAAAAGCAGAGTAAGGCAGAGAGTGGAAGAGGCTGCTGATGTGACAGGGTAATTGGAGGTGGTGAAATTTAAGCAGAGACCTGAATAAATTGAGGGAGCAAATTTTAAGAACACGAGAGCAAAGATTCTCCAGGCTGAACAGCAAGTATTAATTAGAATGCTAAGGCGAGAGTTTGCTTGGTGTGTTAGATAAAAGGGAAGGAGACCAGTATAATGTAGGCTAGAGCGGGATGAGTAAGGGGAAGAGAATATGAGAAGTGAGAAAAGTAGCCAGAGACCAAATCATATTGGTCATTACAAAATAAAAAAGAAATCCACACACGACTTAAGTGTGAAGGGAAGTCACTAGAATATTTTAAACGATGAAGTGACAGGATCTTCTATGTCCAAAATTCTTTTTGGCATAAGTCCTTAAACTTAAAGATAGATTAATTTTCAGGATCCCTACATTGTTGCATATACCAGGTAACAAAGTAGGAAGAACATTCCCAGAGGCTTGTAGAGATGAGAACGGAGCGACACCTAGTGGGCAAAGTCAAATAGGGCCATAACACAACTGGGATCATATCCCTCTTTGTTACCTACCAAAGAACAAATATTCATCACCAGTTCAGCTAACAGGAGGCAAACAGGTAGTTTTGGATGATTCCTGACAGTATACAGCTGACCTGTAGGACTCCCAGATGTTTAAACAAGAGAGGATACATCAAACAACACCATCAGGAAAGTAAAAAAAACCAAAAAACAAAAAAACCCACGCAATGGGAAAAAAAAATTGCAAATTAAATATCTAACAAGCAGTTTGTACCTAGAATATGTAAAGAACTCTTAAAACTTAATAATAGACAAATAACCCATTGCAAAAATGGGCAAAGGATCTTGACAGACATTTCTCCCAAGAGGATAAGAAAATGGCCAATAAGCACCTGAAAACCATAATAATACACCACTTCACACCTACTAATATGGCTAAAATAGAAAACAACAACAAGGATATAGAGAAATTAGAACCCTCTTATATCGCTGGGAATGTAAAATAGTGCACCAACAGTTTGGTAGTTCCTCGAAATGCTAAACATAGGGTTACCATGTGACCCAGCAATTCTCCCAGGTATACAGAAGCAAGAGAAATGAAAACCATATGTCTACATAAAAATCTGTACAGCAATATTATTCAAAATAGCCAAAAAATGGAAGCAACTCAAATATCCATTCACTGATGAATGAGTAAACAAAATGTGGTATATCTGTATAATAGATTATTCAGTTATAAAAAAGAATAAAGTACTGATACATGCTACGGTGTTGGTGACTTTGAAAATACCAAGTTTATTGAAAGATTTCTAGCCAGTCACGAAAAGGCCGTATTCTGTATTATTACATTTATATGAAATGTCCAGAATAGTAAGTCTATAGAAATAGAAAGGAGACTTAGTGGTTGCCTAGCGCTGGGGGAGTAACTGCTAACGGGTATAGGATTTCTTTTTTGGTTGATGAAAATGTGCTTAAATTGATCATGGAATAGTTTAACAACTCTGGAATATACTAAAACTTCTGAACTGTAAACTATAAATGGGTAAATTTTATGATATGTAAAATATATATCAATAAAGCTTAAAAAAAAAAAAGAGAGATAAAGAAACAAGTCATCACCTGCAAATCTTTGACTTAATAGTCTGTCTCTAAAACTCCCAGTACTTCCTTAGCACGTGAATTGTGTTTAAGTCCAATAATTTATAGTCCGATCCCTGAATGTCCTGCTTAATGACTCTGTACTCTGATGAAGAACCACTGTGTAGTCAGGGTTGCAGGAGTAGTTAGATAAGAAATATACAAAAAAGTAAGGCAAATGGTAGTGAGGGAGAAAGGGGTAGGTCAGGTCTTATGTTCACAGATCCAGGCTTTCAAAGATCATGTTGAGTTTTATGGGCAGTGTTATGGAAGAAGATAAAAGATTTCTTAAAATTTCATAGCTAGTATCTTTTTGTATCTTTATTTCTATTCCATAAAGTAAGGTATTTAAACTGGTATTTAAATCCCAAAGCTCACCCAAGGAATAAAGAAAATCTTACCCAGACCCACTTTCCCCTCCTGCCTCAGCCCCCACCCCAACTCTACTATCACCGCCGTCCCTCCCCGCCACTTTTCCCCTTTTCCATCCAGGTGTTGGACCAGGCGGTCTCCACTTCTCCACCCTGCACCCCTTCTTCCCCAAAAATAAATAGAAAAAAAAAGAAAATCTTACATCATTTCGGTCCTTGGTTAGTCTCTCCTCTAGTTCCTGGGCTAATTGCAAAAGCCACCATTGTACCTAAAAAAAGCATTGACACTTTAATTTTTCATTTAAAAACTGTAGGTTTATTACAGAACTAGATGGTGGATTTATTCAGTTCTCCCCCAAATGGTAGTGTGCAAGAAAGATGCTCCTATAACCAAAGAACCAAAGGTTCATAGAAATCTTCAGTATTCTGACCCACGCTAGGTCAAGATTTTCATTTTTTTGTCCTGTGGGCATGCCATCAGGCAAACTCTAGGCATGATCCAGCTCTGAAGAAAAAAAAAAAACACAAACTCAAGGCACAATATCCTAGGCCTTCCAAGTTTCCACCTACCAAAAAAATGAGTAATTCCATTTCAAACTTCAATCAGTCCCATTTTATTTCTTTTTAGATGGAAAAAAAAATAAATCATTAAAACTAGTCAATTTTCAACACAAAAAAGAACTTCTGTTCCCTTCATACTTTATAGCATAAAGGTTCCATCTAATTTATTAAACCTTTGCAGCTACCAAAACCTACCAGCTAACCCCCTTAAAAGTGTTCTGTCAAGAATGCCTGTCTACCTGTTCCCGAGTTGCCAGAGCCGTTTTTCCTGGGAAGTTCTTGCTGCAGCCAATGGTTTTGGGTAGTTGCCTGGGTTTAACCGGATCATGTTCAATCCCACGGCACATGGCATATAGCCAAGACCTAATAAAACCAGCAAAAAAGTTTAAGGTGAAAGCAAATGATGATTGTTGTTAAAACAGAATACCTATATTATACTACCCCTTTGTCCCTGTCATGAAAAAGGAAAAATTTGTCCAAATTTGACAGAATCCCTGCCCTTCCCAATGAACTCCAGTGCAATATATTGCCAAGGAGAAGAACACTGGTTGTGCTTTCTAAAGCCAAGTCATCATTTGTATTTTTGGAAAAGTGCCAAGCAAGCCACTGATTTATACCCCCAAGTTTTTTGATGCTAAGACTAAATACAAGAATTTGGAAATATCAGCATCTAAGCATACACAGATGATGTATATATATCCAAGCTTCAAAGTAACAGTTCCTATGTATCAACCTATTTAGGTACATGAAAAAACTACTCTAAACTGATAGACCATAGTGATCTAATATTTTCAAGCAAAGAGACCAATGAAATTACCCCAGGAACAAATGCTAACCCAAAGATAGGTCTAGATTTTACTGGATGCTTTTGTCTATATTTGAATTTAGCATCTCCATAAAGGTTATTATTGAAAAGTATTAGGAACCACTTACCCATTCTTCTCCCCAAAATGACTCTGGAGTTGGGATTCGGTGAACTGGGTCAGTTCACCCATGTATTCTACCCCCAGGATTTCAATGACAGAGGCCCCTAGCTTTCCTCCGAGATTACGGCTAACAAAAAAGAGAAAGAATTTATAGGTCACATCCTAAATATCGAGTTAGCAGCAGATATAAGACATTTTGCTTGTGTAAGTAGCTCTCCAGAAGGTTCAGGGAAAAGGAGAGCACATATTGGTCCTGTAGACGATTAATATTCTAGCGTTAGACTAGATGATTCAGATATTCTGGGAGTTAGGACCTGGGAAGATCAATAATAGCAAAAACAAAAGGTTAAAGTCACTAATTAGTCATCAATTCAACTGTATATAAAACTTTCAGTTGTATGGGATATATATATATAAATGCATATAAATGCATTTATATATATATAAATGCATATAGATGAATATATATATGCATATATATATTGTCCCATTTGGGGATTAAAATTCCAACCCCCAAACAAATCTCTTCCACAGCTAAAACCTTTTATATTTAAGAATGAAGTTAAAAATCTTCAGTGTGGCCTTTGAGGCTTCCTATAATCTGTCTTCAACCAATCTTTTCAATCTTCTTTGCATTACTTATCTTCCTCAATATGCTCCAGCTAAACTAGTTTATGTCCCAGTTCACTGAAAATACCTCATACTTTCTCCCTCTTTGTAGTTCAAAACATTCTCCAAATCAGTATTGCTCTTCTATTCCCATCTGAATCTCCAAATTGTGCCAAATCTCAAAACAAAGCCACGCCTTTTGCACAAATCCTTCTCAGATTACTATTCTATGAACTTTGGTAACTACCTACATAGTTCATTTAGCAACAACATATAGTCTTATGATAGCACTTTCACTGTTGCTTTGAACCGTTATATCTTGTTCCTTCAACAATATTATAAGCTCTTGTCAAGGACGCACAATTCATAGGCACAATCTAATTATTCGTTTTATTTGGTTTTTTCTCTCATGCCTAGTTTGGGAGCAGTTCAGTAGCCCTGAACACCTTGATGTGACATTAGGAGAAAAGAAGTAATATTGCTATTTATTTTGATATTTAATAGCAGACTTGAATAAAAAGGCTAGAGGGAAGTTAAACATACAGTTCATTTTTTAAATTCAGGATTAAGTATCTTCCACAGATACTTAAAAATCAGTTCATTTTTTTAAATTCAGGATTAAGTATCTTCCACAGATAATCCAGAATCGAAGCTTCATTAAGAAAAATCTCGTGTTTTTCAGATTTTCTGTGTTATCGCCCTCGTACCTCACTGGTACCTGTTATTCCTGGCACCAGGGCTTCATAAGAAACAGAAGAAACTACAACCAGAGAGTGCCATCACATGTATATGAGTAAAATTTAGATGCTCCCCGAATACTTACATTTTGCTAATAGGTATGTGGCTGAAGAGTTGTGGGACTGACCCATGTGAGACCAGGGTCTGGCGGTTGGGCTTGTTTAGTCCACAGGCCAGTTTTGCCAGGACCTGGAGCATGGAAAGTGTAAAAACCTCATTACTGCCAACACCCACACAGAGACTTGATGAATATTACCATACATGTACACACACAGACACAGCTTAAGGGCTGTAACTAATGGTATCCATATTAAAAACAAAAACAAAACCAGAAACTCAAGGCATCTCTAAACCTTGGTGTCCCACAACATCCTCAGTGGAAAACATGACCCACTATCATTATCTTCATTGTTCTTTCCACATCTTCCATTCTTGGTTTTCCTTTAGTCATTTTTTCCACCCACTTCAAGAGGGTAGAAGGCAGAGAAGCTGCAGAAGAAACTTAAGATGCATTTTTTAATGTGCCCATACGAAAATGCTGAGACAAACTTGTTTTACCCTACCCCATTTATTTACATTTCTTGATTACTGGTTAGTCCGTTTTGAGTCCTGGATTTAATAAACATTGCCATAATTTAGTATCTCTGATAGAGACTGGGCTCAGAATCATCCTCCAATAGCAAACATCTTATACTACAAAACAAGGCTTCAGAAAGAAAAAAATTTAAATTCAAAGAATAAGGTACTTCAGTGTTGTCATTTCACAAATTAAAATTGGTAGGAAAAGTATAAAATCATTCTTTAAATTCATCGGAGAGATTCTCTGGAACTTCTACCAGGCAACAGCCAGTCTGGTTTAAGTTACTACAATGGGACTTTTGTTTCCCCTACCTCCACCCAACCAGAATAAAAACCTCTGCAGGGTAGTCTGGCATCTTTCCTCTTACTGGAAGCAAGGGGAGAAGGTAGTAACCAACAATCAGCCACTGCCCAGACACTGAGCCCAGTCAGAAGGGGATGAAGATCCTAGGCCCTCGCTGTACTTTAATCAGAAAACCAGTTACACTGCTCCTGGATTATTTAGGATCATCTGTATTCCCTAAATCAGAACAGTTGTCCAAATTAGTAAAATTTTACTATTCCATTTCTCCTATTGCTTTCATTAGGAAAGGGAGACTAGGCAAAGCATAAAATACTCAGGCCATTCCACATCAGAAATGAGGTAGCACTAGAATATTCAGCAAATGAAAAGAAAATAAATAGGTTCATACGTAAAATTCAAAGACTAGCCTCCTCCTTTCTATAGACAGTTTAGTCATTAAGGAACTATATATTGGATGCAACTATATAAATAAGCATTTTCTGCAAATTTTTCAGCCTGCTTCTTAGGAAAGTACATGTTCAATGTCAATTCCTATGTTAAAGAATTATTTAGGCTTTTATTTAGAACTCAAAATTAATTTTAAATAGAAACCCATTTCAAAGTATATGTGTAATCCTTTAAATGTCCCACTCATATATGTCCTTGCTGTACTTAACCACAGCTATCTATGTTTCTCTTCGAAATCTACCATTAGCCTTCACCTTATTGTGTGAAATTCCAGCTGAACACTGAAAACCAGTCTGCCTCTCTATGGCTGCTCTCATTTCTTCCACAATCACTGCTCCCACGGTGAGCTGTAGGTCTGGAGAGTTGGTGTTTTCAATCTGAAGAGAATCAAGCCATTGCAATAAGCCTCGTTTTCGCATCTCTTCTGAAAAAGTTGAAAGGTCATGTTTAGACACTCTTTTAAATCAGGATTTTATTTTGGTTTATCTATTGCAGAAATGCTTAGATTTCAAGTACTTTAGATATGTAGGTTGCCACAAAAAATGGCAGCCATTTTAGAAGACTAAATACTCATAAGAGATCAATTTCTCCTTCATACCGATTCAAGCAGCCTTAGCTTCACTCTGGGCTGAACTTTATGGTTTTAACTTTTTTTTTTTTTAATGCCTACAGCACCTGGTCTTCCTAGGTGGTCTCCCATCCAAGTACTAAGCAGGCCCGCCCCTGCTTAGCTTCCGAGATCAGACAGGATCAGGCATGTTCAGGGTGGCATGGCTGTAGACTGAACTTTATGGTTTTAATGTGCAACGAATATTTTATATTATCTTTCATGACCAATGATTTAAAAGTACATGTTTTCTCGCTCCAGTTCTCCTGAACTGTCTTCCTCT